CCTGGTTTCCAACACCCCTCCTTTCCTAACCACATGTGCAAGTTACACCAGTCTCTCTATGCTTTACAGCAGGCTCCACGGGCTTGGTTCACTAGTCTACACAATTTCTTAACTACTCATGATTTCACTGAGTCCAAAGCAGATGCATCGCTATTTATCCATCACACACCTCAGGACATCACTCTGATACTCATTTATGTCGATGACACCATTGTCACTAGGTCCAACCCAGTACGCGTTGACTCTTTCACTTAAGCTCTCTCCTCTGAATTCTCCATACGGGACCTTGGGCCTCTTCATTTCTTCCTTGGACTGGAGTCCAAGCCCACATCTGATGGCATTCTTTTATCTCAGTCCAAGTATGCTCTGGACCTTCTTTAGTACACCAAAGTGGCATATGCAAAGCCTTGCACCACTCCCATGGTAGCCAATATTAAACTCTCTGCTGAAGACTCGAAAGTGTTCGATGACCCTACTCTCTACCGTAGCACTGTTGGTGCTTTATAGTATCTGACTGTAACCTGTCCAGGCTTGGCCTTCTCAATCAACAAAGTTGCATAGTACATGTCTAAACCCACAATTAATCATTGGGCCGCTGTGAAGCACATTCTTGGTATATAAAGCATACTCACACTCTGGGCCTTCACATTCATCACTCTCAATCCACTCAACTTCATGGCTACAGTGACTCTGATTGGGCCAAGTGTTTAGATGACCGCCGTTCTCAGGGAGGCTATTGCATCTACTATGGGCCCAACCTCACTTCTTGGTCCTCCAAGAAGTAGTCCACTGTGTCTAGATTGAGTACGGAAGCAGAGTATCGGTCCCTCACCCTCCTTACAACTGAGCTCACTTGGCTTCAGATGCTCCTTCATGAAATGGGCCTACCTCCGGTCTCCTCTCTAGTTTTGTGGTGTGACAACATAGATGCTACATACCTGGCCTCTAATCCTATTCATCACTCACGTAGCAAACACGTCTGGACTTTCATTTTGCTTGGGATAAGGTTCAACGCCGCCTGCTTGAAGTCCACTTTCTCACCACCGTTGATCAAACATCTGACATTTTCACCAAACCTCTACATGTTCAGAGCTTCACATTCTTACATGACAAGCCCTCCTTAACGAGTATGGCAACGCTTGAGGGGGCATGTTAGAGTCACGTCCGTGTTTCACGTAACGTGACTCATGCAAACTCATGCAATGGCTATCTCAGCCATGCACGTAAGGAACCATGTATGATAAGGTTTATCCTCTTATTGTATTGTACATCTAGAACTCTATCTAACTCTATCCCAAATGATAGAGTCCTTTGATCTCTATCTTAACTTACAGCCTTGTATATAAATCCTCTTTAACCTGAGATAATCAATCAAAGGCATTCAGTATTATCTTGAACCCAATCTTCTCTATCCCTGTTCTATCTGCCTTCCCATTGATCCTATGTTGGGTGGTGGCAGTGCTCACTATTTTCATCTCAACTGCCATGGTCTATTTCGACTACAATTTCATTGGTGAGTGTAGTTTTTGGTGGCAGTTGCTACAAATTTGCTGCAAATTTTGTGGCCCCTTTGGGGTTTTTCCTTCTTTGTGGCCTTTCTTAAATTGTGCCATTACCGCCACTTTGTGCTTTCATTCAAGACTTCAGGAGTATCTACTGTCATTTGTCTCTTAGGTTGTGTTTGGAATTGATGTAAAACCTCATCAGTGTAAAAGTACATCAATGATTTTTTACATCAAACCATAGAAAAGTGATTGTTAATTTCGAAAAGTATGAATTCAAAAAGTGTGGAGTTTTACATCGAATCTATCGATGTATTTACAGCGATAGTTGATGTAAAACTTTACTTTTGATGAGGTTGTGCATCGATTTATGACATAAAACTCTACTCCATCCAAACGCTGACAAATCTAAACCAGAGTGGAGTTTAACATTGATCTTGATTTACACTCCTTCCAAACGCCAACAAAACCAAACCAACATAAATATTTACATCGCTTCCTAATGCAGCCTTAGTTTTGGTGGATGGAGATGTGCTAGATTTGGTCCTTTTATTACTGATTTTTACTTCATTGTTTGTTGATTGCAGAAGTTCTTTATCTTCTCGTTTATCCACTACTATCGTGTATTTTATTTTTTGTAAGTTGTATCTAACTAAGCTCTTTTGCTTGGCACCATTGCCAATTCTTTGTAGATGACAAGTTTCTTCATTGAATGAAATATGCTTTTAGCCTTGGCTCTCAAAAAAATAATAAATAAATAAATAATTCCATGGAGATGTAAACTTGTAACTCATGCATGTTCCAAGGCTAGTATTTTTTTAAGGTTCAATTATGATATTGGAAAGACATGATACCAGAAAAACTTACACCAATCAACCTGTATCATAAAAGAGGTATCAATCAGGTGGTATTCATAAAAAATCAAGGGGTGCTTTGACTGGTCAAAGATCTTTCAGTCAAGATTCAAAGTATCAACACATATATGTATCGTTTCAGGAGCTCCCCAATACGCCCCTATAGAGGTGTATCGTGGTTCTGACCAGTTTAGGGGGTGGAGGAGCCTTAAACTGGTCCCCCTGAACCGGTTTTGAAAAAAAAATTAAAATAAATAAAAAAAGTACCGATAGTATCGGGCCCCTATTGACGTATTAGGCATATCGATATTTTAAACCATGCTTCTGGTACCATGTTTTCCCGATATTATAGATTTTCCATTTTTCTATCTCATGCTGAATGAAATTGTCTGTTTTGGGCCTAAAAAAATCATGCAATGTACCCTCAATCCTTTAGTCATGTTTCTAAGTATCAAATCACGTGCATATGTATAAAGTTTGACTCAGTTGCTCCCTTTCTTTTAGTTTTTTTTTTTTTTCTTTCAAAAACTTACAGGGGCTGGTCTTAGCAAGGCCTACCCACTAAAAATATTAAAAACATTAAATACCAAATATTCAGTTTATGAAGGTGGGCCGATATGATATAATACACCCCGATATGTAATGAAATTTTGAACCTTGCTCTTCTTAATAAAGATATATTTTTTTGAAAAAAAAACATAAAAAATGTGAACTGCAAATTTTTAGAAAAAAATGCTCCTTATTTGTTTTTCAAAATGTAAAAGCGTACAATGTGAACAACGCCGATGGATCAATTTAATTAGGGCTTCAAAGGAATAAAATCAAATCAATATAAGGTAAATCCAAATTTAATCCACTAATGTACGGATACGAATCCAATCTTATCATCAGCGAATCAAATTCAGGTTGCAATGAGATGTTGACTGGCATTAATATATTAGACTCAAATAAGCAAAACATTATATTAGCAAAATGATGTAAAAATAAGTTTGATATTGTATATCAAGAATAACAAAATACATTGAAAATAAATTGGGATAATTAATTGTATATACTCTGAGGCTTGAGAAAACTACTTTTACATACCCTATATTTTCAAAACCTACTTATATACATTGTTGACTTTTCAAATGTTAATTCTAATAGATAAAAAAAAAAACATAAAGGACAAAAATGTCCATTATTCTTTAAAATTTTGAAATATGCGATTCTAGTTTGAAGTTTGAACAACCTAACAGGGGAGAGATGAGAAGAGGAGGAAGACAGATGGAGAAAGAGAGAGAATCACAATTCTTCCTCAAGGCAGCATTTGGAAATGATGCAAATAAGTGTGAATACAAATATGTAGAGTGTAAAATGGTTCATATAAATTATAAAATTGGGTTAGTTTTGCACCAACAAATTTACCTTCTTACCAAACAAACTTTTAGCTGTAATGGATGCAAACATGAATTCCAATAAAGCATATACTTTTTCTTTTATCAAAATCTCACTTGAATGCAAATTTACTTCTTTTTATTGATGTACTTTTACATCTTATTATCAATATAAATATGCATTAGTCTATCATTTGTCAATGCATAAATGTAATGTTGCCAAACACCTGCAAAAGTGAACTAGAGTGCAAATTTACCCTAAATTGGGATTTACACTCCATTTGCGTTGTTTCCAAACGCAGACTAAGGCTCAATTTGGAAAGAGTGCAAATACAAATATGTACAGTACAAATACATACAAAATAAGACAAAATGTAAAATTTTGCACTCTACATATTTATACTCCTTCCAAACTGAGCCTAATGGAATTCGGTGTACATGTACCCTGAGGTTGCAGGTCAAATAATTAGCAACTTGGGCCAGCAGGTGCAATAACATATTATAACGTCAAACAAACTTTATGAAACTTGAATCAATGGATTTGGTAAAAACACAACATCCACAAAGTTGCAACCCAACTTTGCTAGTATAAGAATATAAATTGTAAGCATATACATTTCAATAGAACCAAATCGTATTCTACCGGACCGGAAAAAGGGTGCAATCCATATTCACTCGATTTCAGATCACCCTTAACCGGATTGGTGGATTGGGATTAATTGATAGAATTAGATCAAATTCCCATTAAAAAAAATACCGAAACCAATTTGAATTTTAAGTCTCCGAATTATTGGAGTCGGGGGATAAAAACGACCAATAGTTTGTATTTTTGTTTTTTGGGTGGTGGGGGTCAAAGTATTGACACGTATAGGCCGATACGGGTCGATACGTATCATTCCAGGACCTCCCTGATATGCCCCTACAGTGGGTGTATCAGGGGTCTGACCGGTTCAGGGGGTTGAAGAGCCCTAAACCAACCCCCCTGAATCAGTTTTGAAAAAAAAAAAAAAGTATCAATTCGCCCGATACACCCCTATCGGCATATCGATATTTTGAACCTTGGGTTGGGGCCCAACAGAAAAAGTAAAATACTCTACACGCACAGAAACCTGACTTTGCAAGCAAACCTAGGAGAGTAACTCTTGCATGAAGAAAACTAGTCTGATCAAATACCAATAGTATTAACCAAGAGGAGGATATCACTTGGAAAGCTAATATCTCCTCCCTCATGAATACATTCCACAATTACCGGGAAAATGAAGAAAAGATTGCCCTGTAACAAGTTATTTTAATTATTATTAATAATTAGAATAGCCCTGTAACAAGTTGAGGAGGTGCAAGATAAAGCCTGCAACCTCAATGAGATCATACTTCCTCTGTATAAGTACCAATAAAACTCTCGAAACTAGCAAGTTTTGGGCACCAAAAACTCACATGATCAAAGTAAAAGATTCTTCCCTCAACATCTCAAGCCGGGACGTAAGATTCCAGCATCAACTGTGCGGGTGAAGGGGATTTGATCTCAACAATAAGGTATGTGAACTTCCACTGCTTATCGACTTTGTCTTTGAACATCTCAGTGTAAACCTTTCCAGCTCCATGGGGTCCACGAATATAGAAGTTAACCTTGCATGCATTTAATTAGAGATTGACTAAAACTCAAATCTTAAACACAAATTACTACAAAAGATTTGACTGACGAAACTAAATAGATGCCATGATGGAAAGTTTTAGTTAAGAGTTACCTCAACATGCTCTACACCATCTTCATCAGTCCATATTCTATTAGGAATTCGTTGGCGAGCAGCACGGTTTCTGCTTTCTGAACCATAACCTGTAACCGGAGATCCAATCCTCACTCTAACCTGATGAGAGAAATATTGGAACCATGTGAACAAGAAAATTATGCATTTGAAGGCAAAAAGTTAACATCCAACATATAGGCCATATGAATATTTACAAGTTGCAGTTATAATTGATGATAAAATGGCCATTACCCAATGATGATCCTATACCCATGGTCATTTTTTTTTTTTATTGATAAATGGTAAATTAGTATTACTATGAGGGAGGGATTCCCTCGCAAAAACATATATGGTGGAGCATAGTGTATTTTCTGCTCATATTTACTCTGTTTCCTCTGAGTATGTATTTGGAACCGTGGGCATTTATTCATTACACGTTTATACTTGATTTATTTGCAAAACCAAGAAAAGCAATAATGAACCCATTTATTGACACTTAGGCACCACATCAACAAAACAGTGAATAAATGCCTACCCATTGGCGGAAGCGCTACAATAAGCTTCCCCCAACGGTAGGTGTGCCCACATAAATCAATGCTTGCTTTTGCAAGTCTCTATGCGTACGGATTCACATAATGAGGGAAATGCTGAAGGAAGATGCCCCCGATGGCAGCACTTATTCAATAAATGCCCACGATTCCAAACACCACCTGAATCTGTACACCAAAAAGATATCACAAAAATACAAGTATTAAGTAGAAATAATAAGCTAGTCTAATGGTCCCTATAGATTGACTTGGTTCCGTGGTACTGCTTTAAAACCCAAGCCCATACCAATGTACCATAATGTTGCATTCAGCCTTTCTTTTCACCTCCTCCACAGGTGCAGACTTCCTTAAATATCTAGCTGTTTCTTTTTCTTTCCAAACCGACCAGCAAATGGCAGCCAGTTACCGACTTCCAAAGAAGTTTACCATAGATGGAAAAAGCACCACATCTCCAGCATGAGTGCCCATTTTAGAGGGATTTCATGGTGGCATCTGGTGTTGCAAGGTAGGCCCCACATGAAAACCCGTGAAGCCATGTTTAGTGAAAAACCCAAAAATCCAAAAACACGCTTATGTAACTTAATCAATGCTGAAGCCCTCCCAAATGAGCCATGAAAATAAGGTAGGTAAGTTAGGTTGTACAATCCATTGCATCCGGAACAGCTTCAGAAAATGGCACCAAATAGCTTGTATGAAGCAACATGGTCTTCGGAGGCAGAAACCTGGATACAGACAAGCCTTTCGCCTTTTTTATAAAGTGGCTTCTCTCAAACCCAAACCCATGCTCTCACAGACACGCTTGTCATCCTGAGATTTTACTATTGCACAAAGTAATGGACCCTAGTATTGATCATATAATGTGGAATTCCATAGCAGCACAAGTGGAATAGACATAGATAACAAGATGTGGCCTAGTTAATCATACATTAAATTTGAGCCCAATATATTGACAATAGTCTCCTTTTCGTTTCATACCATTTACCACGGATCTTTTTTCCTGAAGAAAAGAATGGAATGATTGATAGCAACCTAACAGTCAAATCCAGATTCTCTCTCTTCCAGAAGATATCCCATGCAATATTTTAAAATGCAGGGACATGAAGCAAAGCACCATGACTTTCTAATGCGTGAGAGTGAAACATAAGCCTCATGAGGACTCATTATTTCGAGGAAAAACAAGAACTAAATGTTGAGAATAAGTGCAGAACTATGAAACAAAGGAGTACACTTTTATAAAATAACACACAAATGAATTACCCATCATAAAAGCAAGGTCTAAAGGTAGTAAAAGCTTTTCATAAATCAGTCTGCATAATTAGAAAGCTCTTAATGTAAATCAAAACCTTATATGAGAGTTGAAAACCATAAATATCTGCACAATAAAAAAAAAAACACCCAGAGATCTTAGAACTGATATTTAACTCGTCCCTTAGAAGACAACCCATTTAATGTATGCAATACATGTTCTTGGCATCGTTCCTTAGAAGACAACCCATTAATGTATGCAATACATGTTCTTGGCATAAAATCACAGGGTATTTTCCTTAAGCCTAACCTCAAGGAAAGCCTAAAGGCATAAAGATCTCATGCTTTTTAAAACATTGATGATTGATCCTATATAGGGTCCACGCTGTGGCTGCTAGAAATCTCACTATGCATGCCACAGGTCAATCTGTGCTATTTAGAGACTTACATTATGTAAGACCTGAAGGATCTAACATTCCCTATGGGTGAACCGAAAATATAGCCTACAACAATCTAAAAGCACAGAGCAAACATGTTTTTTGATGCAAACTGGGAAATGGGAAAGCTTGCATTAGGGCAAGGCAACATGCAATATGATAAATGAGGTCTTGCCATTCCTTTTACATGAGAATGGTCAACCATATATTAGTAGATGTAGGGGTGCAACTGGGGCAGGCCCAACCCAAGCATGAACCAACCCAGCCGAAAATTTTACATGGGCTGGGCTTGGATCTTTTGTCCTTGGGCTGGGATCAGCCCAAAAATTCGGGCTGGGCCTGGGCCTAGCCCTTAGTAGCCCTAACCCGGCCCGACTATACACATTCATATATACATATATAGATATGTATTTACATGTATATATACATATTTGTATACATATTTACACACATACATGCATATATGTATACATATTTGCATAAATGCATACATACATGCATAATTGTAGAACAGGCTGGGCTCGAGTTGGGAAGATCAGGCTTGACCTCAGGTTCAGTGTCCAGGCTCGGACCTTAGGCCTAAATCTTAGGGTTGGGCCTGGGTTGATCATAAACCCAACCCAACCCGCCTGACTTGCACCCCTAAGTAGATGCATCCTAACAGTACATAGCTTAGGTTTCCTTAGAAGACCAAGGGTCCAGGGATAAACCTGAATGAAAATCTTGTACATAACTAAAACTTGAATGAAAAAAAAAATGAGCACCCCAACAAGAAAAACATGCCTTTTGGACAAACCTGACTATCATTCTGAACCCTTTCCAGAGCCTTTCCAAAAATCTTGTACCTACAATAGATCATGGGATTTAAGTAAAAAACAAACTCAATTACCTAAATTCAGCTTTTAACAAGACAGTATATTTGCCAAGGGAGCTTGAATTACTCTTTGGGCTCAAAAATAAGCTCCTTAAAAACTGCATATCCTGCAAGAGCTGCAATACCAAGGCCTGCAAGTATGATAACACTGTATGAAGCTCCTTCTGCAAAAGTCACAGGCTTTTCTGGAATGTTGTATGTGGGGGCGTCAAAGGGATCCTCAACTGTAGATATGTCTTTTCTTGTATGCTGCAGGAAGGATACAATAGGAAAAGGCATTTTAATTGAGGTAACAAATTTGTTGTTGAATGTAACATGAAATAAGACAGGAAAAACAAATTTCATCAGATTGTTGGAGCATTAGATTGTCCTGATCCTTGGGATAAATCTTCAAATTCAGGACAATGATGAGACAATTCAAATAATGAGGTACATTTGAAACCATAGCATGTGAAAATTATAAATAAAAAGTGAGCAGAACATATCATGCAGCATACAGAAATAAAATACAAAAGCTGGAACATGTGGTTGGTATATAGAGAGTTAATATTAGCATTGGTTAAACTTAAACCTCATGTGAAGTTTGTCCTGGTGACTGTGAATCTGTACTGGATGCAAGAGATCTAGCATAGCATGGAAGTGCATGTAGCTTGCCATAGTATTTGGTAAGTTGATATGGGGTAAATGAATTTATTATACGATCTCTGGTTTGCCACCCACCGAATAAAACTCGCGATCCTGCCAGACATTGTTGTCACTCAATAAATCTAACATGGTACTCTTTCAGAACAATTTTCTCCAACAGAAAACAGAGATTAAGCTCAAAATACCAATGGAAGCTGTGTACCCACAAGCTAAGTAACGAAAAAAAGACATTTGAATTTTCCAATCATCAGAACAATGTAACTCAGATCTTGTGTGCATCAACTGAAGCAGTGAGGTTTTCTCTTTAAAAAAAACGGTATTGTATTGAATATGAATGAATTGCAGCCTTTAGGTAAAGAAAACAATAAACTTTAGAGAAAAAAGGGAGGGACTATGGGAAGGAAAAGAGAAAAGAAGAAAAGATGAGAAATTTTGAATGAGAAGCAAAAGTATTGACTTCAGGATATCACTTGATTTCAAAGGGTGCCTTACAGTTTAAAAGCACCCTTTTAAATGAGAAGCAAAAGTATTGGCTGCAGGCTTTGAATCGAGTGCTGTTTAAAAAAAAACATTTAATATCCAAAACAACAGAACTGTAAGGCACCATTTGAAATGGTTCTTGGACCACCAGAGCAGTGAGGTTGTTGATAGAAATACAATTTTTCCAAGGATCCCTGGACTAAAACCCACAAACAATGATGTCCCATGTGGAACATATGCATGGCACAAGGGTGTTCCTGCCACTTCAACAGTAGCCTCAGGCTTCAATTTCTGAGTTTGACACCATAAACCTGTCAAACTACCAGATTTCAATATTCATCAGGGAAGCACAAAATCAATTTCATCTATTTTTACTCCTCAGGTATATCTAGCACTCCAAGGGCTATGCAAAGTATAAACAATTACATATATCCAGAATCCAGATGTATCATAGAGGAAAGCTATACTTGCTTACACTATAACACTGAAAATTCTAAATATTATACTAACTGGTACCACACACATGTAATCGTTTTCATGCATAACACTTCTTGTCCATGTCTAATAGTAACAAGGATAACCATTTCCTACCCAAAAAAGGATAAAAAATGTATATTAAAACAAGTAATAAACATGAATCAGAAGATGACAAATAAAAGAAATAAAGAAGCAAGGGATAACAAAACTTGATCAATCGTGATCATCTACATATAACCATGGATCATACAGAGCTAATATTCCCTGATAAAGTTATCATTTTCATTTCTATTTTATTGCCAAGTCATTACCATCATCCACAGCTTTGCCCCACCACATGGCATCAGCTAACAGATAACCATTGTACACACTAAAACACAGATTCTGAATGAGAAAATCCTAGGTAAGATCATCATACACCCAACCCAATTCAGTCCCAGCGGTACATAGTACATACACTACTGAGGCAATTGCAGAAGTTTCAACATTCACTGCGTTGGCAGGTGATACACTAAGAAGTCCTTCAAATCAAAATTTCACCTAATTGAAGGCCCTAACAATCAAAGAATGGTCCAAAAGAATGGAGTATATTGAAAATTGGATGATTAGGACTATCCAATCAGACCGACTCTTAACCTAAATGGATTCCAAGATGAGCATCCAGTCCAACTCTTAACCTAAATGATTTACTAGACGAGAACCCAAGGATCATTGCCCTATGTTGATCCTGGCTATCCAGAGTCTTGGAAGGAGTGGATACAGACCTAGCCTGTGGCATTTTTAACAGAGTGACCACTCTCAGATTCATACTAGTCAGCCATTCAGCCCAAGGTTTCACCATTGCACCAAACAATGGCCTCTTCCTATATGGGCACTTGCACCCATTAAATGTTGGGCACATCCTCACACATTCTTTATTAATGAAAATACCACATTAAAAACACATTATATGACATTGAATACCACAAAATTTTGTCAACTCTAAAGGCTAATTTTGCACTATTGGATTTGGCAAAGAAACCAAAATATTACAATAATTGACATAAGGGGCTATTCAATAATAGCTACAATTGTAAACTGAATGACTTGTTGCTTTGTCTTTTAGTGAATAAGTTATTAAGGAGGTTGTGAGCTCCTTAATGGCTGAAGCTGAAGTTGGGTTGATTACTATACCCTTGAATATTTTATATTCAATTATTTTATTCACAAGAAAAACAAAGAATAAATCATTCAGTTCAGCCACTTCAACCATTATCAAACTGTCTATAAAGGAAAACCATAATTCAGAAGTAATACAACTGACCACCTGCCCTCACTGTATCCTGCATAATACCAAAACAGAAAGGATCAGTTTTCATTTAAGTCAGGAGAAAGAATCCTGGAATTTTGGCTGGGTAGAGAAAGCAAACAATAACTACTTTATTTACCTTATTCATCATGCATGTATCAGCAGTAGCTTTATTCACCTGACCTGACCCCAATATAAGCTGCAATACATCATACAATTAGTCCACCCACAAAATGTAGTATCATTGAATACCAGCTTCTGACAATATACATGAAATATTCCCAATATTCAAGGGTATAGTAAGCCAGCACTACCATTCCAACAAAAACCTACAAAGGAGAGAAAGCCTCTAATATTGCAAATTCAAGTTACAATACCAGAAGCCAATTCAAGAATACCCAAAAGCTCAAGTCAAATGAAGATCGAGCCACCCCAAAAAATTCCCGCGCAACCAAAACCCATGGTTAAGCATCAGGATAGAAGAATTTAAGTATCACACATATAAAGATATCTTGGGGTGTCAAGGACAAATTTGGTTACATAATAACTTCCAACTAAAGATTTAATGACAGTAGAAGAAACTAAGTTAAAAAGCTATCATAAATAAAGCCAGTGATCCAAACCTAAGCCATGCAAGGTATTGAATAACCTGTATGGTATTCTACAATTATAGGCCAAATCAGAAATACCACTTATAAAAAGTCAAGCATAAATAACTTGTATGGCTTAGGTTTGGAACATTGGCTTTTCTATGATAGCTTTATCATTAAAAATCAAAGATATTAAAGAAAAACTTTATCCTCTGATGAAGGATGATTTGGCAGGACCTAGTAAGAAGGGGACACATAGACACAATCTGCTCGAGGGGTGACAACTCAGCCAAACGAACCCATTTCGCAACATTAGGAGCTTGAGCATCCAGCCACCTCGGCATAGAGACACCTCGACACCCAATACAGTTTGAGGCTAAAGAATCGAAGTGTCAGTTTGGGGCTAAAGAGCCAAAATGCCACATAATCGACTCCAAAGGCCTTTCCAACGAACCCCGAATTTCTCAGGATCATGATGAGACGCATCCTAGCTCCACCTGAATCAGAGGTAAACGATAAACCTTATCAACATATTGTTCTCCTTCAAAAATGGAACAAACCTTATCTGCACAACCCGGAGATCCCGGAGCTCTTTCGTAAGGCCCACGACTACTCTAGTATATAAGGACATGAAACCTCAAGGCAAAGGTACGCGTGATTATTTTACTCACTAGCATTCAAGCACTCAAGATTCAGCTCGCATTCATAGTATACGTACTGACTTAGCTACCTCGGGTTCTCTGATCTACTATTCTGCAGATTGTCCAGCTTGCCGTGCAACTGGAGATCGGATCATCTTCCAGCTAGGAGTATCTAGATCGCGCACCATCATCCTCCAATCTTTAGCACATTATCCCCCCAGTCAAAAGAAGCAAAATCAAATAGTTTGTGTGCATTGCTTACTGTTTAAATCCTTATACCAAAGGTAAAGGTAATTAATTTATTCCTTATTTCTTGAGGACAGTTTTGCTCATCCCATTTTATGGCAATTTAACTAAATATCATTCTTGAATTTTGACATTAACATTCTTCTCTGGTTAAATAGTATATCGAATTCTTAAGTTTAATATATTTACTATCTTAAGTCTTCATATTTTGGTGATTCCCTTTCACTTCATCCTATATATAGGTGATAATGGATCTAATAAATGATTCAAAAGAAAACTGATTCAGGTAGATATTTTAATTGAATAAGAATAAGTTATGAGGCCCTCTACATTCAACGAAACTAAAAGTTATCCCAAATTATAACACAATAGCATAAGATATGTAAATGCAACCAAAGCCACAGGCTTCAAAGTTCAAAGTACATATGCACAGGCCTATGGGCATTTTTAAAGCCAACTCCTGCAAGCCCAACTTGGAAGAGACTAGAAAGAGAGTCACAATGGATAACCAATTACCTGCCACAGCTGACATCTGCCCCCAGTTAAATGGCTCTAAGCCTACAAACAACAGACTTAATCAAAATCTGCTCCAGTTCAAATCTATAAATTTAAGACTCCTTATGTAGACCCAGTTGGTGATTACCCAATAAACATATAAATATATGAATTGTGAAATTCATAGGAACAAAGAAAATATCCACCCTTTTGCCTTTCAGACTTTAACTATAACTGTGCAATAAACCATGGATTTTACATTCTCCATTAGGATTTTGCCAATTTCCAAATACTCTTAATACCAATTATCTGGCAGGTCCAATATGGGACTGCATGTGTGCCATAACCAAATGTTGTCATGAGAAGACCCATAACCAAAAGCATATTATAAGAGTCCAGGTCTAGGTCTTTGAACCCCCAATTAGGAGAGAATTGCCTAGATGATTCTAGCTACTTCCTTTTGTTGGGAGTAAAATTTTCCCTGAAAAGGAACCCCATATATCACTATACAAAGACATGCAATCTGTCCTCCCAGTTGGTTATTCACCATAATCCCCATGATAAAGAGATAGCTGTCCCTTTACTTCTCAATATGAAGACCCAGTTGGTTATTTCTTTGCAGAGAATCTACTTCATTTGAACCGGTAAAAAAAAACATTCATTTGAAGAAATAGAGTGCCTATTTTTTTATTTTCAATTGTGAAAGTAGCTTGTACCTCAAATTTAGAGAAATGGAAATAGCTTTATCGTCAACTGAACCTTATTGGAAATTATGGGGATCACCGAATCAGTTATATGAATTTTGTCACACCATTCCACACATCTAGTCTGTTTAAGGGTTTTTTTTTATAAGTATCTTGTCTATTTAAGGTTATACCTCTCGATATTTCTTTTGGACTACCCTGATAAATCTATCATGTCATTTTAAGCTTACTGTTATCTTTTTAAAGGTTTCAACCAGCACAAAAGAGTTATGCCTTACTGGTGTCTGTATTCCATATTACTGGAGGGAAATAGTATGTCACAGATTACCTGAATTGAAGTAGCTCTATGGCATCCCTATAATTTTGAGACTAAGTGCTCAGAGTTTCCTCAGAATTTAAAAGGAACTTCCCGTACATCTTTCTTCCCTACAGTACAGTTTACCCTTCGCTAGGAACGGACTTTGTCCTAACATTGAAGCCCTACTCTTCCAGCAGAAAATGAATGTTATTAGTTTCATCTACACTCTACAGTCAACATGGCTATTCCAGATCAGATTAAAGGCAAAGAAAATGATAAGCACAAATCTAAAAAGTAGTTCACTCCAGCGTCAACTCTAGACCAAGATAGTATTTTTTTTTCTTCTCTGCAGATAAGCAAAACTAATAGAAGACAAAAACATGCCATACAGATTCTAAGCAATGTAAATGCCAAATCAATGGTCACACCAATAATCAATCAGAACCCATACCCTTTTCAAGGTTTCAGCGTTTCCGGTGTTGAACTCTTTCCTTCCCGTAGCTGCGGATGAGATGCCGGCTGTGCCCACATCAGGAGATAACCTTTCCGGCAGAGACTCCACTGGAGAATATGAACCCTTGTGGGATTTCAGGATAACCGACCATCTATTCTTAAACAAAACCCCGGATTCGACCACTTTGTACTTGATATGATGCATCTTCACCAACATAAGTTGAACTGTCAAAGCTCCAACTTCCTGGCAGTCTAAGCCCAAACAATTAACAAAAGAAGTTCAATCGAATAAATTCCAGAAAAACCAAAAAACCAAAAGCTGGAATGACGTTAAGTGAAGACCCAAAACGTTGAAATAGTTTCTCACTATATATGAATTTTACGCAAAACGTTTCTAATACCAAGACGACAAAAGAGCTTCAACGAAACAAAACCAAAAACCCCACCGTGCGATTTTGAATCAGATACTGAAGTTTTCAAGGAATTACTTAAAACTCTCCTATATTTTTCTGACAAATACTTAAACCTCCCCTCCCCTCCCCTGAGTATGAAAGCAGCAGAAAGGCATGATACCAGTAACGGTGACTCCGGATCATCTGCCAAAAAAACACGTTCCAACCTTTTTACATGACGGGTCGCGATCTTATAATAAAATGTGCTATATTAGATCAAGTTGGTAGAGGATTAAAATGTGTTTTATTAGAAGAAAAATCTCAACTCGATACCTGTACCTTTTCGATATCATAAATATATGCAAACAATACCTTCTTCTGCTAACTGTCCTGTAACAAAGATGTTGAAGCTGTAATTATGCCCTTTTATGGAATGTTAGGGGATGCAAGTGAGCAGGTTAGGCCGGGTTAAGGTCAATCCTAACTCAACCCGAAAGTTGTTGAACCCCAATTCTAACCTTAATCCAATCTTAAAATTGCGGGTTGGGTTCAGGTCTGGTTTGGTGTGATTTCAAGTTAGTCCAATATCTCTATTTCCTTTCTATAAATATACTTATTTCCTTAGACTCTAAGGTTCTTGTTAATTCAATGTTAGCATTATTATGTGTAAAAAGAACATGGTTGTGATGTTTTAGAAAAGAAAAATTGCCTTTAAACATAAAATTTTTAATATACAATATTATGTATACATACATAGATATATAAATATTTGATGTAAAAAAATACATAAGTATATAGATGCATAGTTGTATATGCATACATGCATGAATGGTGAATACACATTTCATAAGTACTTACATGCATGAATACATATTTATATGATATTTTTACATACAAATATAAAGTTAAGTCGGGTTTGGGCTAGTCAATGCTTCAAGCATAACCCAATCTAAGGTTAAGTCAAGTTCATACTTGACAACCCTAACCCTAATGTGAATTTCAACCCCAACCTAACCCTACTTTTTGGGGTTGGATTCAGGCTAACTTGACTCAAGTTGCAACCCAAATTAATGTACAAAGCAAACTCCATTGTTCTTTTTTTAGATTGCCTAAGAATGGCATTTTTACTAATATGGGAGGTTTAAGTTCAACCCCTACATGGCCTTTTGTTCTCTCAATGAAGTGAACAATGCAACCCACTTAAATAAAGCAAATCACTTTTTCATGTGTAAGTATAGCGTTTTAAAAACTTTACAAGTATTAGTCAGCTTCATGGGCAAGCCTATCCCCCAAAAGCATAACCTTACAACCCTGGTGTAGATGGGATTTAATCCCAAGTTTTTGTTACAACCAACAAGAGACCTTACTAACTAGGTAGTTGACAATTAATGAAAAGGGTGTATTAGCTTTTTTATTTGGAACATGAATAAAGATTTTTATTAAGTCAAAATATAAAGGAGGCTCAAGTATTTATTAGAAAAAAAAACATAGGTCATTTAAATCTATTAACACCATTTACATTTACTAGTGTGAGTAAAGACAAAAATATTAAGGGTTTTTATGGTTCAATCCACCTTTAGGTGGAATTAGGATTTTTTAGGGGTGGACTGAATCGTGAATTGATGCCAAATTCACATGCAAGATGTGATTTATAGGGGGAGGGGGGGCTGCAAATCAGAATTCTGAGGTAGAGTATAGGCTAAAAATCCCAAATATTACGGTACTATGATTTGACATTTATGACATGCACCAAAACCAAGGTAAGCATAAAAAATGAAAAGAACATTACTAGAGATGGAAGGTGAGAAAGCCCCTAGCTCCAACAACTTTCTTATTTATTTCATTTTATCAAAAGTGTTGGCACATTTTTTTTATTTTTCTAAAGTATTGGCACTTCTTGAAGGAGGATTTCATGAAAGGCAAAAATTTAATGCAAGGTCCTTAGTTCCAATGGTTGTAAACTCTACCTTCATTTCCTAAATCCCTTAGAGCTAAAGATTCGAGAGATTACATGCCATTTAGTCTAATAATTACATATCAAAATCTTCTCCAAAGTGTTGGCAAACAAATTGAAGGGTGTGTAAGGACATATCATTTCTCCCTCCTACAAAATGTTTGTGGATGGTTCACTCATCACAAATGAGTGTATGGATTCAAGAATAAGATTATATATTCCCATGGAACCATTCAACATAAAAGCTTAAGTTGTTAGGAAAGGTCATTGAATAGGTTTTTATTCTCTAACACACCCCTCATGCAAAAGCTTATCAGGCTTGAAGTGTAGGCAAGCACAAGCCCATCCATACCTTGTGTTGAAATTTAATTAATTATAATGGGGGTGACAAGAATCGAACATTAGACCACTTGATCGAAAAGGCTCTAATATCATTTCAAGGAACTGTTCAACCTAAAAGCTTAAATTGTTAGGTGGGGTCCCTGTATAAGTTTTTAGGATCCATTTGGTTCATGTCCAAGCAGATTGGATTCGGAATCAGAAGCACCTATTCCTAATGCATGTTTGATCCAGTTAGGAATTAGAATCAGATTCTAATTGTTACTGTTTAGTTGAAGTAGAAGCTAGGATTTAGGGAGGGACGGAGGGAGGGTGGAAGAAGAGAGAAGAGGGGAAAAAGAAGAGGAAGAATGGGAAGAAGGCATGTGAAATGTTGGATGGAGGAAGGCTAGCTAGAGACCGATCTTACCTCGCTAGAGATGGTGATTGTCAGCGACTGGTGTTGGATGGAAGAAGGCCTACCAAAGTTCAGCCTTTGGTCAAATAAGAAATGGGAGATATTTTGTCAAAAATAAAAAATAAAGAAGGGGAACGGGAATGGCATTCTTGGGGGAGTGGGCTGAATGGCCATTCCCCCATATTATGGGGGAATCCCATTGGTTGGAAAGAGACAAATACAAATATGTACAGTGCAAATACATACCAAATAATACAAGTTACAAGGTTTTGTACTTTACATATTTGTATTTGTACTCTTTTCAAACTGAGCCATTCTGATCAACCAAACCGTTGGAATCAGAATGTGCCATTCTGGTTCTGAAGCTAGGTGCCTATTCTCTAATAGGTATCCTGGTATAATTTGTAAGTTGGACATGAAAAAGGTGTATGTTCATTGGGAGTTCCTCTTATGTATCTTAAGGAAAATGGGCTTTGGCGTGAAGTGGGGGGTTTGGACTTCGGATTAAGGAAAATGAGCCGGGCTCGGGCTGGGCTTTCAATCTATATTAACAGAATTTTCTAAGGCCCGACTCCGAGTCCGGCCCGACCATCGGGCCTACAATTTGGGCCTGAGCCTGGCCCTCATAAAAAGCCCAAAGCTTAGCCCATACTATTAGTGGTTGAATAGAGAGAGAGAGATTATAAAGAAAAAAAATAAAAAATGTATATATTAAATTATAAATATTATATTATTTATATATTTTATACAATATATAAAATGCATATTATATATATTATAAAATATATAATGCTGAGTCGGGCTGGGCCGGGCTTTCTTGACAAATCCCGAACCCGGCCCGAAACACAGTCAGGCTTATTGTGTTAGGCCTGAGGTCAGGCCCACGGGCCTAACCGGCCATGAACAGGTCTAGTGATGAGTAACAACATTCCTGAATGTTGCATTGATGGGACAAGGACTTTGATGAAGCCAATTCACTCTCCCTGTTTCTATTTGTTATGACCGTGGAGGTGTTGAGTAGTTATAGGGTTTCAAGGTGAGCAACATTCCATACTTGAATTTGTCGTTTTTATGTAGAGAAATTCAAGAGTAGAAAAATTCAACATTCTCTACCATTGTCTCGAGGCAGTTAAGGAACAAAGCCTAACTTTCTATCGCGTAGTATTAATTGAAGTTTAGTATCTCACCATCTGAGATCTTTAAATACATTACAAACAGCAAAAGCGTTAAACGTCAATGGTTTTTTTTTTTTTTTTTTCTTCTTCTTTCATATGCTTGAAATTGGTGAGTTCAAATCCAGTGAACCCGTGGGTTCACGGGGAGTATGTACCCTCCAATCGGAGGCGTGCACGTCGCCCTCTTCACAGAAGCCACTCCCGTTAACGTTTTTCTCCCATTAAAGCAGGTGAATCCGGTTCAACCGGCCGGTCAGAAAAAGACAAAACAAACCAAAGACTTTCCTTTAGTTTTTCTCCCATCGTTTGCATGAAAAGGCTTGTAGTTCTCTTCTTTTTTTGCTAACCTAAAATTTTTGGTTGTTTACAAAAACAAATACAACGGGACAAATTGTATAGAAAGTTGCTTGTATCAATGCATACATTGAAATATAATACAAAATTATGCAGGAATTGGTGCTATTTTCCTTGATAGTAATGGTTCTTTTGTTGGACCTTGTGCAGAATGCGTGGTGCCAACATCTTTTTTTGCAGAAGCTCAAGCTCTTCTCTTAGGTCTTCAGCTTGGCTAGAAGGTTGAGCTTAAAGCTTTATAGGTTTTTTTGGACTGTCCCATGCTGGTGCAGTGCTTGAACGAAGGATCATATATATCATGCATCTTCCTTTTGATAGTTGGTTTGAGATGAAAAGCTTCAATGCAGTTGTTAATCATATAGAAAGACAGCTAAATGGAGCAACCCACTGTTTACCTTCTCAGTTCTGTTTAAAGGGGAATGGTTGTTATCCTCCTCTTTGCTTATGAAGTTTGTATTCAAAACTTTGATGTACTGGCTATTGGCTGTTATAGTTTTAATGAATTATACAAGGTTTTAAAAACTGACCCAGATAACGAACCGGTTTTTGGGTTGAACGATCGGTCTGTTCTGACAAAAAAAATTAAAAAATGGTCAAAACCGTTGAAGGGTCAGCGGTTTATTGACCAAATCAATGTTTTTTTGGCAAAAATCCAGTTTTGGTGAAAAATGGAACCGATCACCTGACCGGTTCTCGATTTTTCTAGTCCGGTCCGGTTTTGAAAACCATAGAATTATAAATTTGTCTTTTACCAAAAAAAAAAAAAAAGAAATAAAATACAAAATTAACAAATACTTATATTAGAACTTAGAAGCTTGAAGATTTCTATCTTGTATTGAGCAAGAAAAATATTGAGAAGGCCACCTAGGAGAAGCAGAGCGTCTCTCGTGAAGCCAAAGTTCTATCATGGGCTCTGGAAAGTATTAAGGGATTTCCTTCCACTCAACCAGTAACTCAGACCCGTTCCATTGGGATGTAACCATTGGTTTTTTGCCACTTATATGTCACATACACAACAAGCTTTTCTGCTAGTACCAATTGAACAAGAAATTCTGAGAAAGGCCATGGAATTGAAGTCATCAGGACATTACACTAACATGATAACACCTGTTACTCTTTCATTAGAATGAGTGGAAAATCTTTTGATGTTTGCACCGATAAAGAAAATTTTTGGGTGATGGTATTTTTAATAATGTTGAATTAGAAATCCTCTTAATTTGTATACACCATTTGATTTATCAAGCAATGATTCATCACATTCAGTTTCGTATATACTATTTTATCAAACATTAATAGTCCAAATGTCTTTATGAATAAAGAAACAATCATTCCCCTATATTCTATTTTTTATTAACATAAGTGGGGGTTTATTTTATCTTTTCATTTGTAAAGCGTGCTCCCCATTTATTAGGATTTTTTCTCAATTATTTATCAAAAATTGGGTGTGCCCAAATCAACACTTGTTATTGTATTCCTACAACCCAACATCTGCACATGATTCTCTCATTAGCCATCTAAAATATTGTACTCCTTTGTAATACAATCTCATTATTGTGTCTTAACTCTTAAGTGCATCTTAGGATCTGCCAATAAGATCTACTTAAAACCCATCTCCTTGGCTATATTTTAGAGGGGTGAAGTTTCCTTCTTCCTTTTTGGCATGAATGCTTTCTGCTCCTTTACAAAATTTTCTCTTGAAGATGACAAAGAAACCTTACATAGAAAGAATTGCTGCACCTATGTTATTAGCAATGTGATAGGGATTTGGAGTTAATGGGAAGAAAGTCAACAGGGCTCATGCCAAGGTAACCCAAAATTAGGGGTGAGTAAAAAAATAGAAAAATTGAATCGATCGAAATTGAATCAAAAAATCGGTTAATCGAATCGGTTGATTCGGTGTTTTAAAAAACTGAAGGTATTGGTTCAATTTTGGTTAACTAATATAGAAAATTGACAGTTAATCGAACCAACCAATATATATATATTTCTATATATTTTATATATATTATATTATATATAATATTTTTTATATATTATAAATTAATAAATATGCATTATATATATATAAATATATGATATATTATTTATTATTTAAAATATAATATTTTATATATTTATAGTTTTTTATTATATATTTTTATAATATATATTATCTGGTGGTTAATCAAAGTGGTCAACCAATTAATCGATTGGTTTCAATTTGGTTTTGGTTACCGGTTTTCCAAAAACCAATAGTACCAGTTCGGTTACAAAAAAAAGGCCCAGGAGAACCAATACCACCAATTTGCCAATAAAACAATGTCCAAACTGCATCTCTTGAAGCAATGCTATGTAGCTAAGAATGCATAAAATTTATCATTCGAACATATTTGAGTAGTAGACCTATTCATGGGCCGGGTAGCCCGATGGCCCGGTCAGGCTTGGTCATGTAATTAGGCCCACGGGCCTGACCTCGGGCCTAACACAGTAAGCCCGACTGTGTTTCAGGCCAGGCTCGGGATTTGTCAAAAAAGCCCGGCTCGAGCTTGGCCTGGCCCGACTCAGCATTATATATTTTATAAAATATATAATATGTATTTTATATATTATATAAAATATATAAATAATATAATATTTATTAAAATATATATTTACAATTTAATATATACATTTTTTATTCTTTTCTTTATAATTTCTCTCTCTCTCTCTCTCTATTCAGCCGCTTTACCAATAGTAACAGTATGGGCTAAATTTTGGGCTCAGGCCCAGGCCTGGGCTTCGGGCTTTTTATGAGGGTTGGGCTCGGGCCCAAGTTGTAGACCCGATGGTCAGGCCGGGCTTGGGCCCAAGTTGTAGGCCCGATGGTCGGGCCGGGCTCGGGCTCGGGCTCGGACCTTAGAAAAATCTGTTAATACAGAATGAAAGCCCAGCCCGACCCATGAACAGGTCTATTGAGTAGTCTCTCTGGAAGCAATAGATTGTAACTACAACTCTTTGTTTTATTGTCGTATATCCCCTGAATTCAACACATTCTTTTATTATAGTAGAGGTGTACAACATCAAACGAATGATAAATCGGTGACCTATACATGAATAATATGATGATACTTTTCATATTTGATCTTCTATTTGCCAAACGAATGCTTAAATTTTGTATTGAATGGTTACAACAGATCAGTCCTGTTAGAGCTCTGGTTATCTTGTGATTATGACAATGTAATGAAAGTTGGTGGTAGAACTATTGATCTCTTTCCTTTGATAGGGATGTTGGTGTCGGGGAATAAACCACCACCTTCAGCAAGATCCAAAACAGAGTTATCGCTCAACACCATGATTTTTAAAAACGAACTGGTGACCGAACCAGTCAGGGGTCCGATTATCGATTTGAACAGTTCAAACGGTTTAAACGATTAATCAACTGGTTCAGTGGTTTATTAACCAAAATCAACGATTTTAAGGAAAAAAACGGTTTTGGAGGAAAACAAAACCGGTCAAATGACGGATTCCCGGTTTTTTCCGACCGTCTGATCCGGTCCGGTTTTGAAAACAGTGCTCAACACAGTCACAATGTACTGTAACATTAGCAGCATGTTTGGGCTAGTAGCATCTCATTGCAATTTCAATGTCTCGTCTTCCATCCATGGATCGTTGGTTTATATTGGTCAGAACCTATTAAAATATAAATATCGTCCACTGAGGAAGAACGCAACAACCAACTAGCGGTGGGTTGAAGGTTGAGGATAATATGGAGGCACAAACTCTCCTGTACTCTTCTGCTCTCGATTGGGATGTACATACAACTAGCTTGGGAACCATTCAAAACGAAAAAAAAAAATAAGAAGAAGAGGAATTGAGTTCACAGGGAAGGGAAGAAGAGGAGATTACCACCGGTCGCCGGTTTAACCCTTGCCGTTGGACATGAGTTGTTGGTCGCTGGTGGTTTGAGGCTTCTGGGCACTGGTTAGGGTTTGGATGAGTGGGGGTGCGAGGAGAGTTCGAATGAGAGAGGGAATCATTGTTTTGAAGCTTCGAATGGGGTTTTTCCTGTTTTTTGTGTTTTAGTGGTCAGTTCAATGATTCAATCGGCAATTTAACCGTTAACGTTACAGTCCTGTTAACTTTGTGTCAAAAGACATTGAGCGATGTGCACGCCTCCTATTGGAGGGTACACGCTCCCTATGAACCCACAGGTTCACTGGATACGACCTCGAAATTGGTATAGATGCATTCTGATAATTTGCATTTGGGTTTTTGATAAAAAAAAAAGGAACAAATGCTTTATTGAAATTCATGTTTACATTCATTACACCTAAAAATCTATTTTAGCAAGAAGATAAATTTGTCGGTGCAAAACTAATTTAACTTTACAATTTATATGAACCCATTTACACTCTACATATTTACATTCACACTTATTTGAATCGTTGCAACTTAAAAGGAAAAACACGCTTCACATTTACAGTTCGGGTCTCAACCCACTTCACATTTCACACTATACTAATTTCTTTCTTTTTGTTTTGATGAAGATACTAATTTCATTTAGTCTGTCCTCTGGCGACCCCTTGTTTGAAAATCCTTTCTTTGATGATTTCTTATGAGCTGTCTTTTTTGGTTTCAATTTGCTTGAGGTCGAAGAACTTTTCCTTGCTGATTCTTTGGCTTCTTCTCTTTTTTCACATTGGACATTGTAACATTGTTGTGTGTGAAAGTAGATGTTACCGTGAATATGCAGATGATATAAAGGTAAATAGAGTATGAAGACTTATCGACTGAGACGTGTCCGTAATACTGTCCTTAAGAAGAATTTCACCTCCTCTGGGTAATGCCCGGTGCAGTATAAAAAACCCGGCATTCTGCTTCAGGATTCAACAGATTTCAAGGCACTAAGTAACCGTGCACTTGGATTACTGAGTAATACAAACTGTAGTAATCTCTCAACTCGGAAAATGAATGCAATATGCAGAGAATGAATGAATGCTGAAAGTAAAACGTACAATGCAAGAAAAAGAAGTGGCGATTCTTCTGAGAAACGCTATTAAAGATTGCGACTAAGAGATGCTAAGTCAAAACGGACAGTTTTGATTAGAAAGAAGAAAATGAACATTCACTTGTTTGAATTCGAAATTAAAACAAGTTTAAAATGAATGTGCAACTGTTCGAATTAAAAAAAAAACGGTCAAAAATAGTAGGTGAATAATCCACACCCGTGCCCCGACCCGACGTGGCCCAGCCCGGCCCGGCTCATCTTTGGAGAGGAACTTACGATACTTCCAGCTACATTCCCTAGCTCATCTTTGGAGCATTTTAGGTTCCTGTTATGGGAAATTCTGTAACAGGTTTTTTCTCCTGTTTTTCAACTCGATTCTTCTTTTCTGCTTTTCTCTGGGAAAATGGTGACCTTCTCCTGGTTCATCAGTCGTCTTAGCCTCAATGATAGATACATCCTTGTCATCATTTACGCCATCATAGCCATATCAACGCTTCCAAGTACCAGTTTGTTCTTCATATACAATCCTGTCTTTGGAAGATCGATGCTTTTCCCTGAGCAACCTTGTTGTAGCCTGTAGGTGGAGGCAATTGAACAATAGGGCCATCTCGGTCTTCTGTTGAAGGTAAGTCGAAAAGGATATCTGCAATCGCTTGGGCCAACTCAGTGCAGAAAGGAAGTGATGATGCAGGTCGTACACCATTAATAGATTCCCAAGGTTGAAGTAAAACTCAACAAAGTGGTTTGAATAAACCACATCTGGAGTTTGTGTTTGAATAAGCTACTTCAAAAATGGTTGCTTGTGTTTAATTAATTAACCACTCCCACTATTTTCCCTGAAAATTAGCATTTTTTGAAGGTGGGCTTACCCACTCTCACGTTTTTGAAAGTGGGTAGACAGGTGTCTAAATTGAAGGTCTTATTTTGATTTTGAAATAACCCACTTCTTATATTCTCTTTTTTCGAATAAATAGGTTGCCACTTGTCTGAGAGGAGCGATTTTTGTAATGGAAGGAAAGAAGGATGAAGTAGTCATGAGGAAAGGACCATGGATGGCAGAGGAAGACGAAATACTGTTGGATTACGTAAAGAAGTACGGCCCCAGAGATTGGAGCTCCATTCGATCCAAAGGCCTGTTGCCCAGAACAGGCAAATCATGTCGTCTCAGATGGGTTAACAAGCTTAAGCCCGACTTAAAGACGTAAGCCACGGAACCTTCAATTTGTTGAGTTTCTGTTAATATTCTACTTATGCTCATGGGTCATTTTCGATGTTCTTATTTGAGTTATTTCAGTAATGTATCTGATTTCTTGGGCATCTGGAAAAAAGAAAAAAGGAAAATCAGTGGGTTAATTAGCTTCTTTTTCGTCGTCTGTAATGGCTTTGGTTACAAAATTTGATAATGAATCATGTTGGGGTGCTGCTAACTAATAATATAAATGTATATATAAAAAAAAAAAAAAGTGGATGCAAATTTTCAGTTGAGGAGGAGAGGGTGGTGATCGATTTGCAGGCAAAATTCGGGAACAAATGGGCCAGAATCGCGACGTATTTGCCTGGTAGAACCGATAATGACGTGAAGAATTTCTGGAGTACCAGACAGAAGAGGCTGGCAAGGATTTTACAGACGTCACAGCCATGCAAGTCGCAGAAGAACAATGGGAAAAGCTCTGTTCTTCATGAAATTCCACCTTTGGAGGTAAGAAAGAAGAAAGAACCAACCAACCAAACAAACAAACAGACAATCACTAGTTGCAGATGAAATTTTCTTTTTTTAAATGTCAATGAACTGAATATATATTTCTTTCTAGTACTAGTAATAGTAGTTGCATGCAGAATTTCTTGGGTTCAAATTCAAATACAAAGATGGGTCTCAGGCATCGATCTATGTTCTTTTATATTTTTGGACATTTTCATTTGCCACTGTTTGATTTTGTTTCCTTCTGCAGTTTGCCGAACCAGTAATAGTTGCTAGTGATTTATTTCAGGCTCCTAAATTCAGTTCCACTTCTGTGGAGGAAGTATCATCATCATCATCATCCAAGGATCAGAACTTCCCTCCTTCCTACATGGAAAACTCAGAAGTGATCAAAATGGTGCCATTACCTGATTTGGTGAACCCAAATCTGCTTAATTTGGGCACCAACAACCTCACCCAGCTCGAGTACACACCTATGGAGAAGAAGCCATGCGTCGACCCACTATCACAATTCCCCTTTCCTCAACTCCCACAGCCTCCCTTGGATCTCCCTCTCCCACTCTTGCCGGAAAGCCAAGAACTTGCAGATACCAATCTTTTGAACGTATTTTCACGTCAAATGGCTTCAGAACCTGATGAAGATGGTCCACAGCTCCCACTAGGGCTCCTTTCTTTCGGATCAGAAGTGAATAGTCAAAACAGTGGAAGAGGGGATGACAATCCTGCGATGCCAGACAGCTACTTTGATGACTTCCCCACTGACATGTTCGACTACCTTGAGCAATTTCCAAGCTCGTCAGAGTGGTAAAATGGTGGCACAGGAACTTTTTTTTTTTTTTTTGTTTTGGGGCATTACTAACTTGTGTACCTTGGGACTGTATGGCCATGGCACCATCTTATAGTTATTTTCAAATTACTAAATAGTAGTATAACTTTTATCACATGCACTAAAATCAAAGAAAGTATCTATAGTGTAGATGAACTAGAAACGATAATTCTCATTATGCGAAGAGGTTGCCTGTTAAAAAATGATAAAACCATGATTTTAAAAGGCATTAGAGGCGAGGCGAGAGACGTATGCTTCAAGGTGAGACTCAAAAATAGCCTAGCCTTGGTAGCCCAGTGGACATAAAGGGTGTGAGCCTCAATGTGTTAGACGACTGGTTGCAACCAAAGAATGGGTGAGTGTTCTTATTCTTCTTGATCTTGAAACAAGATTTTTCTTCTATAAATTCTTAATTTGCTATGATCGATTACCCAAGAAGAAAGTGGCTTTACAACTGTTGAACAGAGTTACCATCAGCGGATCTACTACGGGTCTATGGCCGAAGTGTTTACTGCCTCTCTTGCCATAGATCTCTTTCATTGCTCTCTCTCTATCCCCCTTGGGCTGAATTCTTTTTTTTTTTTCATTTAATCGATTCCTTGTCTTATTTTTATCCTTCATTTTGTGATTGGTAGAATGTGAATGAATAATGAGTGATGCATGCTAGTGTTGCAGATTTGGTTTACCAATTGATTTGATGAATTAATTTCTTGCTCATATGCGCTACGTCTGTATGTACTCTGTTTTATGTGTCTAGGATGAAATTCAGAAACAGGACTATGATTTTTAAATAAGAAACTGCTAAATGTGATTAATCAAGATAATATAAATGAGAGAGAGAGAGAAAGGGAAAAGTAGACTCTAAGTTGGAATTTCCAAGGACCCATGTGCTTTTTTTGGATGAAGAGAAGAGATTAGAGGCCTGCTTAAAACAACATATACGAAAGCAAAACATTAAAAAATATATATATCTGGAAGATTGATATGAAACAATTTTCTTTTATGAGGAAACAAATTAATTGCATATTTAATGCATAAAATATTACAAACACTTTTAATTTGCATGTATAGGTTACCTAATTTAGATAATCTAGATAGAAAAGATTATAAATATGAAACAAAATATAAAATAAAGATTAAAAAAGAGCATATGTAGTAAATTATATGTAAATTAGCTTTAAAAAATAAACTGTACAAATATTTACATATTTGTAAATATCTTGTGTACTGTATTTATTTACTTATAAAAAAATAAAACAAAATTATTTACGCCTCAAACTGCCATGAGGCTTATGCCTTGCCTCTTCAGCATCCAACTTCTCACCTCCGCATTTAGCCTTTAGGTTAAAACAGCATCAAGGGTTTTTGACACATTCCATGCTAATCTTTTGGATTAACCATTTTTAAATGCATAACTGCACATTAGGAATTCAAATCTGAGCCCCACAGCACACCCCAACCATGTATTGGGAACATCTCCCAATGACAAGTACAGAGATGTTCCCAATGCATGCTGAAATGTGTATGGGGCATTTGTGGGGCGCAGATGTGAACTTGAACGTTAGTGGCACATGTACATACATGCCATAAGCATAAATACATACAAGCAAGGTTCAAAATATCGATACGTCCAATACGTTGCTATGGGCGTATCGAGCAAATTGATACAGCTTTTTAGTGGTATATATATATATATATATATATATATATATATTTTTGCAACTGATTCAGGGGAGCCAGTTTAGGCCTCCTCCACACCCTGAACCGGTCAGACCCCCGATACACCCACTGTAGGGGCATATCGGAGGGGTCCCAGAACAATACATATCGGCCGATGTATCAGTACTTTGAACCTTGCATACAAATACTTAAAATACATAAATAGATATTCATATAATATTTATACATGCAAATGAACTAGGGTGGGTTGGATTGGCCAAGGCTTCAATCCAACCTAGTTCATTTGCATGTATAAATATTATATGAATATCTATTTATGTATTTTAAGTACAACCCTAACCGAACCAGAAATTAAGTTGGTTTTTTACTTTTTCAACCCTAAACCCAATCAAATCTTCAACCGACTTTTTTGAGTTGGGTTTGGGCTAAACCAGCCCAAGTTGCAGCCCTACGTAATCCTACATGAGGCATGAGTGAAATGGGCCTAGATGCAGACCCATGAGCATCAATTAGAAAATAAAAAAGAAAACAGAAAAATGAAAAATGAAAAACAAATTGATGAATAGAATTAGTATTTTATAAGTACAAATTAATCAGATTTATATTGGTTGCACATCTTAATGCTTTTACCAGTTTGTTTCCAAAATGTTACCTAGTAATTCAACTTCACATAAACTGTAAAAATATGTATTTTCTATATATACATAATTTATTCATAATCATTTAATCCTTAGATTTGTGTAATTGATGTATTCATAATCATACATACTAGGATTTGGCACTGAGAATGAATGATGAATCTATGTATCATAGCCCAAATATGGCACTGATCTAATGGTTCAGCTCTAATAATAAATTACAACACAAGCGATGTGGGATATTTAAGTACTTAGTAGTTACTCGAAGTTCAACATCCACACAACAAATATATGGGTTGTCAGATCAATACTAACATTTAGGCTCAGTTTGGAAAGAGAACAAATGCAAATATGTACAACATAAATACATACAAAATAATACAAAATATAAGGTTTTGCACTCTACATATTTGCATTTGTACTCCTTCCAAACTCAGCCTTAAGAGTAATGGGTGTCGGCTATATCTGGCAGATAATATAAAAAAGAATATGTTCCCTTGCAAACTGGTGATAGAAGGTTCATAAGCCTCTGTAAAATCAACAATATCGCCATTCATGAGCAACCATAGCACCAACCTGAATGTGGCATTTTGGAGTTACCCAAAAATGCATAACCAAGTAAAAGACATATTTACAAATACCAACCCAACTGAACCTAGAATTCCCCTTGTCAACATTGCCATTTTCCAGTCTATTCCGAATTTGTGGTAGAATATCATCCCTTTCTACTATGGGCCTGTGGCCGGTCTTTTCTAATTATTTGGCAATCCAGTTGAAATGCAGGAAGATCATAACTAGAGACATTGTAGTTAACAAATGTAAGCCAATAAATCCCAACTTGAGCCATATCAATATTTGTGTTGTCAGAAAACAGCATTATAAGAATCACCTCCACACGGTTTCATTTGCATCTGTGAAAATTGCATTATGATGCTCGATGAGGCACTGGACTACCTCAATAGCTGCAAAATCAGTTGGAGAGCCATCATCCAAGGGAATCTGTGAGGATGCATCAACATTGTCGCCTTCTTCTGTGGCAATAAAAAAAACAAAAAAAAAAGAAAGGAGAATTCATGCTTCTACATCACTTCAAAAGCTTTGGGGGAGGGGGCAAGGAAAGAAAAACAGGAGAATACATACTTCTACCGAATACTGACATTTGGTCGAATATTATGGGGATGAGAAAACCCTCCATGTTGTTTATATCTTATGAAAACTAGACTAATTTTCCTGATAAGACTAAAAATTTTGAAAAATGTTTAACTTATTTTAAATAAAAGTCAGATAAGACAACAGGCCCACTTTGCACATGGAAGAGGTATGCTTAAACTTGGGCACTGAAGTGGTGAAGTTGTGGAACACATGCTCTTTTGTCACACCATTTCATATCCAGCATGTACAAAATGTACCTCAATAGAAATCCATTCCTTTTCCACCTAAAAAGATGACAGTGTTTTTAATAAGATGGTCTTTTACCAACCAACAAAACCTATATGCTAAATTTCCAAATCTAGGGATCCCTAGGAGCTTTTAGATCACCACTCGTATTGTTCATCTCTTGCATGATTGAAAATAAAAAAAAACATCTGGTTCATAAGTAGGACTAAAACAGAATATACATGTTTACCAAAAAAACAGCATATAAGCATTGTTAAGGAGTGTAAATCATGGTAAACATAGGATCAGAGACCAAGAGATATCTAAAATTCTCAATGTAACCTCTTCTGCTATCTTGGTTCGATAATCCATGACAATGGAGAGATTGAGGAGAATGCAACCCATAGAATTAGAGTAGGATGGTAAAATTGGAAAAGTGCATCCAAAGTCTCATGTGATAGGAGAATACCACTTAGGCAAAAAGGAAAATTTTATAAAACACTTTTAAGACCGGCAATGTTGTATTGGAGCATAGCTTTGGGTGGTCAAGAAACAAAGTGTCCAAAAAATCAGTGTGACAAAAAAGCAAATGTTGAGAAGGATACGTAGGAAGACCTACAAAGAACAGCACCAGAGAGGAAATAATTTAAGGAACCTAGGATACTAATATGGCTTGGGCACATGCAAAGAAGACAATCAACAGCACCAAAAAGAAGAAATGATCTGTTACAAGTTGAAAGGCAAGAAGAGTTAGGGGCAGATCAAAAAGGAAAAGGGTTGAAGTAGTGAGAAATGACATAAGGGCACATAGTTTAATAATGGCTATGGCACTTGATAGATAGAATGACAGGAACAGGATTCACGTATATAGCCAAACCCATATATTTGGGCCAAGGAACAAGGCTTAGATGATGATACAAGAAGCCTTGGTCTCAGTTTAGTAACAACTAACAACGTTGATGTATCAGTCTCTCTGAACTGACTTAAATCCACTACAGGCATACAAATCCAAAGATGCAAGATAATATAGACGGATTCATATAGAAAAGTTATATATAATTATAGTAATCACCTGAAAGGATATCCCATGCACTGTAAGTAGGCATTGGATCCATTGTCTTCTTGGAAGGACTTTTAGAAGTATGGTGCCAAAACTGACTATAGTCTGGTCTCTGCTCCCTCTGCCAAATAATAATAGGAGCCATTTCCATGGCAAGCGCACGAGCATCCATCTGCATATACATTTCCAATTAATGGGTAGACAACTACAAATAAGACTAAATCCATATGACGTGGAAAATTGATGCACATGTTCAAAAGCTATCATTAAACTTACATAACGGATACTGTAGGTAAGATAAACACGGGATGTCTTTTTAGTTGTCATATATAAATACCTAGTTATACATATACTTGCAAGGTCTGACCTGAATGGATCTCAGTATAGGATGGACGATTGCAGATCAGCCTGAGGATTCCTCTTTCCCCAGATTAGTTGTAGTTCAATATAAAAAACAATTCCGCAAAAGATCAAATATAAGAATCATCTTTTATGATATTGGATGTTGTCGCAGGAGACCCTATTAGATACCAATTAAATTGTAGATTCTACTTCCTAGTGTGTACACATGGACATGAGACATCAATGCCCTCAATGTTTATGGATTTTCATTTGATGAGTTTTCTAGGTATAGATTATCTCCATTGCAGCAGTTTTTGAGCAAATCCTTTTCTTGACACTTTCAACAATTTCTTTTGTTCATGTTGTATCTTCCCCACTCTTTTCTTGTATCCTTTTCAATAGCCTTTCATCCATTATTGATTTAAAAAAGTTCACAAAAAGAACTGCATCCGATTCCTTAGAAAAGTATTTTTTTGAAGAATAAAGAATAAACATTTCATTACAAAGAAAAAGCATTGTGATGAAGGGTGATTTGGCACGACCTAGTAAGAAGGGTACACGTAGATGCGATCTGCTCGAGGGGTGACAACTCAGCCAAACGAACCCAGTTCGCAACATTTGGAGTTCAAGCATTCAGCCACCTCGGCCCAAAAAACCACCTCGGCGTAGAGACACCTAGTCACCCAATCCAATTCGGGACTAAAGAAACAAAGTGCTAGTTCGGAGCTAAAGAGCCGAAATGCCACATAATCAACTCCAAAGGCCTACCCAACGAACCCCGAATTTCTCGGAATCACGAAGGGACTCGTCCTAGCTCCACCCGAATCGGAGGTAAGCGATAAACCTATCAACACATTGCTCTCCTTCAAAAACGGAACAGACCTTATCCACACAGCCCGGAGATCCCGGAGCTCTTTCGTAAGCCCCACGACTACTTCATTATACAAGGGCATGAAACCCCAAGGCAAAGGTACGCGTGGTTATTTACTCACTAGCATTCAAGCATTCAGATATTCAGCTCGCACCCGTAGTATAGTACTGACTTAAGCATCAGAGCGATCTCACCGGGTTATCCACCCCGGGTTCTATGATTTACTGTTTTGCAATTTGGTCCAGCTCGTCGCGCAACAGGAGTTCAGATCGCCTTCCAGCTAGGAGTATCTAGATCACACACCATCAATTGGCGTCGTCTGTGGGATTTCAATCTAAAGGTCATACCAATCTTAATTGCAGATTTATTTTTCGATTTATCCCAATGGATTCATCCAGCAACACCGGAAAAAGCACCGAGATGAACGTCACTGGGGGGCAAGATCAGCAATCAACCTTCCCCCAGGGTCCTACGGTATGGATTGGCCAGTTTACTATTCCTCTTACAGCTTCAGGGGTCCCGTCACTGTCTGTGTCGCAGGGCACCACGCAAGTGATCATCCCGCTTCCCCCAATGGGCGTAACTTTCTTCGAGCCATCTACGGTCCCTCCTAGAATCGGGCACTCCCAATTCCATTTCCTCGTTCAGTGCATCATGACAATACAGATCTAGATGCAGCAAGTCCAACAGTTCCAGTAGTATCAGCAGTGTAATCTGAAGTGCTGTACTCGAAGTAGCAAGGAAGAAAAGAGAATGACAGAAAAGAAGAGAATGTC